GCGTGGATTATTCTGATGCGATCACCGTTAGGTGAAATACGCGCTTGAACTTGTATTATCGATCACCAGTATAACAGCTGGTGTACCCAGGATGCATCTGGGAAGTGGTGTGCATGTGTTGTTTGAGTTTTAATGTATCATTCATTTATGAATATTTACGCCAACTAACTTAAACATCATTTACACCTCTACTTATTAACATTCGAGCATAAGATTTTTTCTGAAAATCTCTTTATTGACCAAAAATGATAATAACCATCAAGGGCGTACGCAGGATTTTTTCAAGGGGGGGGGGGGGGGTTTAACATTTTGAAATCGGGCCGAAAATTTCTCAACGACTCAGCCAGCCGCTGAAGAAGCGGGGGGGGGGGTAAGAGGACACCTTTTTTAGGTCAGCCATTGGCATAATTTTTTTTTTTTTTTAAATGAAAACCAAAGGTTTTTTTTTTTTTTTGGGGGGGGGGGGTATTAAAAATACACACATAAAAAAATACCAAAGGGGGGTTTAACCCCCAAAACCTCTCTCTCCCCCCCCCCCCCCCCCTGCGTACGCGCTCGATAATCATCCATTTCCAACACATTCTCTGGCTATGATTATACATTTTAAATATGTTGATGTATTAAGTTTCCTTATTCTAGACAAACAAATTATGTGGCACAGTGGATGGATTTTCCCCATCCACTCTCATCGTGACCATAAAAATTCCCTTTCTTTCTCTTTCTCCATCTTTCGAAAAATATTTTCTGCAAGTTGTGTTCTCTTGACTGAACAACCTATTGCAATTCCTTTCTGTCTCACTTTCAGTCGTACTTGTTTTTACCACTCATTTGCATGCACTCGCTATCAACTACGATCAACCATTCTATATTCACTCCATTACCCTCCACATTTAACTTGGATTCTCTTCACTTTTCCTTTTTGCAGCCTTTGCAGGAGCCTTGAACATTTTTAATGTAGAGACCAGAGAGACCAGAAAGTATGTTAATCATTTTATTCAAATGTCCCAACTTGAAAAAAGGAAAGTGAAACATTGTTTAATTTCATCTTGACATAAAAGATTTCTTTTTTTAAAGACAATTGACTTTAATACTGGAAATTTTTGAATCGGCCAGGTTGCCTGCCACCCCCCCCCCAAAGAAAAAACAACAACAACCAGAAGTGGTACCAGGGTTTTCGTAAGGAGGCCCATGTCCTGTATAACTTTTATCTTAAATATAGTTTAATATGGTGTGGAAATCAACATTCCAATTTAATGGACCACAGTACAAAGTAAAAATTAAATGGAAGATTTAACTTGTGCCTCAAAAAGTGTTTTATATGGCCTATAAATATAAAGTAGTCTTAAGTAGAATTGGTTTATTAAGACAAGAAGAACTGGACTACATAAGTAAACATAATTTTGAACTAGGGGTCTTCTCTTACACAAAATGTAACAATTAGATTTATCCACATGAACTGCACAATTTGGAGAAGAAAACAATCTATAATATATTAAAAGTAATAATAGGGGTCACACGCGTACGCAGGGGGGGGGGGGGGTATGGATGACCTAAAAAAAGATGACTCCCCTCCACCCCCCCCCCCCCCCCCCCCGCTTATTCGTTGCGAAATTGTTGGCCCGATTTCAAAATGTTAACCCCCTTGAAAAAATCCTGCGTACGCCGCTGATATGGGGTCTAGATCTAGTAGGTCTAGACTATAGTATAATGACAACTTGACAAGCACGCTGGACCCACACAAAATCTAAATATTAGTGTTGATGTTTTTTGAATATTTGTTACATCTAAATAAAATAGGATTAGGAGTTGTTTGGTTATTAATGGTCACAGATAATTTTGATCTAGATCTTGATCTAAATAAAGTTGACACGCACCGCGTACCGATGATGCAACTGAGCGAACGGATGGCACTGATATTGATAAGTAAAGCCATCAGAGTCCACATCTACTAAAGATTTTAACAAGAATTAATCCACAAAATCCACAAAAAATCATGCTTCATAGATTATTTTAAGGTGTAACGTTAAATCTAGTTTTAAATTCAATCGATGATTGGTGAATTAGATTCATGATGACGATCAAATCTGAAATAAAACCTGATTAGAAAGTTTGATCTTGATAAATATGAGCACCGGAATTTCCCGGGGTGGGCCTGCCGGAACCCCGGGGCCCTAACTAGGTACTAGGGTGAAATGACGGTAAATCGCAGTCAAACTACTTTATGGCGATAAAAATCAATGTGCAATTTCAAGAGCAATATTTTCCTAGTCTTTTCCCCAAAAATCTGTTGAGAACTGTCTCAAAATGTAACGAAATTACCGTAGATCACGAAGACTATTGCAGCTTTTTCAAAATTGATGACTACATTCCATTAATCTACTCATATTTCAATCAATTACTCACCCATTCTCAATGAACTACATCTTCTCCGTTTGTGCGAGTAGCTAGCGTCGTGCATAAATCTGCATAATTAAAGTGACGCAATGAGGTCAAATATATTATCACATTTCTTAAACGATACTATCGATAAAATACATATTCATGAGGCTCATATCCAATCAAAAAGCCGCATCAGGTGCTTATTTTGTCTTCAAATGATCCAAAAGAGGCGGAGCCTAATCCCATTCGTGTCATGGTTCCCGCGCGTGCTGCTTTCCGTCTAGTAATTATATTTAAACGTCTTTGGCTTCAGCCAGGCCCCCCAAGCTCCGCCATTTTGTCCGGATCCATTAGAAGCCAAAATAAGCTACCTTGCATAATTCATGAGCCTTATGAATTATGCATTCTGTAGGATGCTCCCCGCGAAAAGTGTACTGGAATGATGTTCACTACATGGTAAAAGACAATGCGCGTATCAGCGTAATAAGAGAGGTCAAATAATCTACTGTACGGAATTATGGGTAATTTATTCATCACGCTGCGCGCTAGCAACGCAAAGTGATTCAGCGAATCAGCGTGGAATATTCTGATGCGATCACCGTTAGGTGAAATACGCGCTCGAACTTGTATTATCGATCACCAGTATAACAGCTGGTGTACCCAGGATGCATCGGGAAGTGGACCTTAAAGTTCCACTCGTTGTTGTGTTTTTTTTTTTTTTTAAAGGTTTTAATGGCGTGTATAATTCATTTCTGAATGTTTACGCCAACTAAGTAGCCTTTGAAAACATCATTACACCTCTACTTATTATTATTCCAGCATAAATTTTTCTGAAAATCTCTTTATTGTCCAAAAAATAATAATAACCATCCAGTTTCACAGATCTCAGGCTTGCTAAGCTCCACCCCTCATACCCAGGATGCATCGCGATATGGGGGAGTGGCCTTAACTTCATTGAATAAGAAATACTGATATTCTTAATGTCTCGATCTTATTCCCTTTTTAGTCTATCAATAACTGGGTCTGTTTTTGATTTATTAAATAAAACATGCTATAAGCCATATAACAACACATTCTCTGGCTATGATTATACATTTTAAATATACTAATGTATAAAGTTTCCTTATTTTAGACAAACAAATTATGTGGCACAGTGGATGGTTTTTCTCCACCCACTCTCATCGTACCTTAAGGATTCCCTTTCTCTCTCTTTCTCTGGCTTTCGTAAATTATCTTCTGCAACTAACGGTTTGTTGTCTTGACTGCAGGCACGTAGCCAGACTTTGATGTTTGGGGGGGGGGGGCACATACATGTAATCGATCGAGGTAAAAAAAAAGGGGTCTAAAAAAGTTCAACCGATCGTGGAATTTTCTTCTTTTTTGGCCCCCCCCCCCCCCCCCCCCCCCCCCCCCCCCCCCCCCCCCCCCCGTGGCTACGTGCCTGCTTGACTGAACAACCTGTTGCAGTTCCATTCTGTCTCACTTTCAGTCGTAGTTGTTATTACCACTCATTTACGTTTACTCGTTATCAACTACGATCAACCATTCCATATTCACTCCATTACTGTCCACATTTCACTTGGATTAACTTCACTTTTCCTTTTTGCAGCCTTTGCAGGAGCTTTGAACATGTTTAATGTAGAGACCAGAGAGATCGGAAAATATGTTAATCATTTTATTCAAATTTTCTAACTTGAAAACGGAAAGTGAAACATTGTTTTTCAACATCTAGACATAATTTTTGTTCAAAGACAATGGAATTTAACGCTGGAAATTTTGAATTGGGTTGCCCCCCTCCCCCCCCCCCCCAAAAAAAAAAAACAACAACAACAACAACAACCAGAAGTGGTTTATTAGTTAGGAGGCCCATGTCCTTTATAATTTTATTTTTAAGAATAGTTTTCTCTTTTTGTATTAATTTTACATTGGTATACCATTAATTTCACTGGGAAAACCACCCCATTCCCTTACACATCAATACTGCCATTACTTCTAGCAACAGTAATTCTATAATTCAAAACGTTTTCATTTTCTAAATCCTTCTAATATAAACATATAACAAATATAATATTGTTTACACTTTTGCAACCTGTTACATGGTCCATGTAGAAACAGCACCAGGAAGAGGATAAGCCCCCCCCCCCCCCCCGTTTTCTTAAGCTAGGAAGTATCAAAACATGATTCTATTAAAATTAGCAGTTTGGATACAAAAGGCAATGATGATTAGCAGTTTCCATATTTAGTGCATTTAGAGGGTTGTCTTTCAAACCTTCTTACATACAATACTTGAAGCAGCAATAATGTAATAATCTACAAAACTTCAAATACAGAAGTCCATAGACTGAGGTAAATGAATTTCAACATGTATAATTATAATTAAAATATCATTGATCAATTCAATCTCTGATATAGACTGATAGATCATCACTCAAATTTCAAGGAAATTTCTTTCTGCCCAGCCCTCAGTTTCATCATATAAGATGGTAGTTGACATTGTTAAAATGTTAATGTTTATTCATTGATGATTAGTTATCTTTAAATATTTGAAAGTTGACAAGATGATAAATAAATTAATTAGCTTTTTCTAAATGTGGTATTCTACAAATATATAATAGAAATAATAAATAAATAGTATGTAAATATTCAAGTTTAAACCCATCTCTAATGTCCTCTTTCATTATATGAGGGTTGCATCTTTAAGACGTAGTCCCATGAAGATGTCTTCTGCATTCATTGATGAAGTTGTAGGCTAGTTTTCAGAAGAAAGGGCTGTGATGATAACCCAAGTCTGTTGAATGGAAAAATGAAATAAGATACAGTGTATAAGAAAATAAACAACAACTAATAACATACACCCTGATACCTGCTCTGACAAAAAGAGGAAGGACTAATATTCACTTGGGATTCTAGTGGGCAAACCTAAACTATTTTACCTACAAGACTAGTTACTGACCACATGTTAGATTATTTCTGATGATCCCATTAAGACGATAGGCCTGCTGGAGCTTGGATCAGACAAGGTATGAAATAAGTAATACGTGTACAATGTACTTGTATTGTGAACTTGTGCTCAAAATTGAATAATACTCGGTTAAGTATGGGACATAAAATGACCACACAACTTGGACCAGAGAATGTACTGGAAATAATGATATTAAAACATACGTAATGTAGACTTATATTTCATCGATATCAACATTTTATTTTAAATCTAAATCACAATTGTGATATTCAGTCAAGTATTCTTTTACAAGTAACGGACAATGAAAAATATGTTTTTCAGATCTATAACTTTCTGCATGATATGTGTTCTACAATAGGTTATTGGGGGTACCTACATTGTATATTAGCACACTTGCTCGTATGAAGTGTAGTAGGCCCGCATCTCTAGATATGCTTCTGTCAATATCTGTTCTTTGTTCCTCTCCTGGGTTTGTAATCAGCATGCCTTCATCATCCACTGTAGAGAAGCATCATCCTGCATAAGAGAAAACAATGTAGGTACTTCAATTAAAAGTGATAATAATAGATACATATCAACCATAATACATCCTATAAACAGACTTTCATTAATCTTATGTTGTGTTCTTCTTCATCTTCATTGCTCAAGAAGTGAAAGGACCACTTACAAAAAAAAGTAATGAGGGGTCCTGTGTATACCCTACATGTATGATCATTATTATTATTATGTAGTGCTTTGAATGTGCATTAGACATCGTTCTGTACACACAGGACCTCCTGTAAATAAGGACAAATCCCTTTGTAAACAAAGAAAGGGAAGAACTAGAATAAAATATCCCTTCCACTATATACACTTGCAACATAAACTTAGTTCCATTTCCTTTTTAGTGAATTGATAGGTGGTCGTTTAATATTTGTGTGCTAAATATCCTGAAAATTTTACCTGCAATGGGACTTTCAGCTTCATCTTGCAAATATAAGAAATGTTGTAATGTCTACTCATCAGTTAACTCCTTCCAGCTCTTCATTAGTTTCAATCTGTTGAAACAAAAAGAAAACAAAATCAATATAGATCTTGCATAAAAGCTATTTTTCATGTCATGGTTGGCCTTAATTTTAATATGGTGTGAAAATCAACATTCCAATTTAATGGACCAAAGTACAAAGTAAAATTAAATGGAAGACTTAACTTGTGCCTCAAAAGTGCTTTATATGGCCTATAAATATAAAGTAGTCTTAAGTAGAATTGGTTTATTAAGACAAGAAGAAGTGGACTACATAAGTAAACATAATTGTGGACTAGGGGTCTTCTCTTACACAAACAAATAGATTTATCAACATGAACTGCACGATTTGGAGAAGAAAGAAATCTCTAATATATTAAAAGTAATAATAATAGGGGTCAGGCACGTACGCAGGGGGGGGGGGGTGTTAGACCTCCCCCTTGAGTTTTTTTTTAGGTAGACCTAGACCTCTATATGTTTTTCTGGAAACCCCCCCCCCCCTTTTTTAGTGTTGATTTTAAAAAAATCAAAAAAAATCCTAATGGATGACCTCAAAAAGATCCCCCTCCCCCCCCCCCCCCCCGCTTATTCAGCGGCTGGCTGAGTCGTTGCGAAGTTTTTGTGACCAATTTTTTTTTTTTAAATGTCCTCTTCCCCCCCCCCCCCCCCCCCCCGCTTATTCAGCGGCTGGCTGAGTCATTGCAAAGTTTTGTGACCAATTTTTTTTTTTTAAATGTCCTCTCCCCCCCCCCCCCCCCCCCTCCCCGCTTAATCAGCGGCTGGCTGAGTCGTTGCGAAATTTTTGGCCCGATTTCAAAATGTTAAACCCTCCACCCCCCCCCCCCCCCTTGATAGGGATCTAGATCTAGATCTAGTACTAGTAGATCTACTAGACTCTAGGGACTAGGCTCTAGTAGTAACTGTTAGATCTATACTAGAGACGAGTAATGACAACTTGACAAGCACACTGAACCCACACAAAATCTAAATAAACAAATCCTAGTGTTGATGTTTTTTGAATATTTTTTATCAATAAGTTCCAGGTTTACATCTAAATTAAATAGGATTTGGAGTTGTTTGATTATCAATGGTCACAGATAATTTTGGTATAGGTCTAGAAATAAAGTTGACACGCACCGCGTATGAACTATGATGCAACGGATGGCACTGATATTTAGTAAAGCCATCCGAGTCCACATCTAAGTTAGGTCTAGATCTACTAAAGATTTTAACAAGAATTAATCCACTTGGATTATCAAAAAAATCATGCTTCGTAGATTATTTTAAGGTGAAACGTTAAATCTAGATTTAAATTAAATCGATGATTGGTGAATTAGATTCATGATGACGATCAAATCTGAAATAAAACTTGATTAGAAAGTTTGATCTTGATGCAAAATGAGCACCGAAATTCCCCGGGGAGGGCCTGCCGGAACGCCGGGGCCCTAACTGGAGTACTAGGGTGAAATGACGGCAAACCGCAGTCAAACTACTTCATGACGATGAAAATCAAAGTGCAATTTCAAGAGCAATAATTAACTAGTCTTTTCCCCAAAAATCTGTTGAGAACTGTCTCCAAATGTAACGAAATTACCGTACATCACGAAGACTATTGCAGCTTTTTCAAAATGATGACTAAACTCACTTAATCTACTCATATTTCAATCAATTACTCACCCATTCTCAATGAACTAACTCTTCTCAGTTTGTGCGAGTGTAGTAGCGTCGTGCATAAATCTGCATAATTAAAGTGACGCAATGAGGTCAAATATATTATCCGGTTTCTTAAACGATACTATCGATAAAATACATATTCATGAGGCTCATATCCAATCAAAAAGCCGCCTCGGTAGCTTATTTTGTCTTCAAATGATCCAAAAGAGGCGGAGCCTAATCCCATTCGTCTGCATGGTTTCCGCGCGTGCTGCTTTCCGTCTAGTAATTATATTTAAACGTCTTTGGCTTCAGCCCCCTCGCGGCTTCAACCCGGCTTCAACCCTCGAGGCGGATCACTGTGTAAACACGGTAATTTGGGTAAAGAGGTAATTAGTGCGCTTGCTATATGTCTATAGCTATGTGTGCGCACTAAATTAAGCCTTATTAAACTTGAGATTTATTTGTCATCCATATACTGTCACGAAACAATCTATGATGAATTAAAGTACATCAAATAACAAGACAATAGGAGTTTAGTTGTATAAAACAAATGATGTATGTTTTCATTCGTTCATTATACGTTGTTGCTGTGTGTATCTATCGCACTCAGCCTACGGCTTCGTGCCATAGATACACACAGCCTCAACTCGAGTGCGGATAGATCGTATAATGAACTCATGCGCATGCATCATTTGTATAATACGTGATTTGTTTTTCTTTTTCTTTTACTATCTAACTGTTACAATACCTTGGACAGGCTTTCGCAAATTTGATATGAAATGGGTATCCAGCTAGAACCAAAAAAAAAACCGTAAGGCAAGAACATAATACAATCTTTATGAATTTATTTTGTTGAATCTCCCCGAGCAAGTTATATTTGTATTGCACCCTAACATTATTATTACTTTCGTCGTTCCCACAAAATGTTAATGATAACAGTAGTAAAATAATAATAATGTACCGTTTCATTACGAAAACTTTCATTCAAACATATTTAATCATCAATTCAAGATCATTTGCAATTCACTGTTTATCATATTGGTCCAGGTTAAAATGCATGAGCACATCAAATAAAATGGAGGTTAGAAAATTCAACATAACAATAATAACAAACGATAGGAAGCAATATACAGCAAAATCTGAAGAATTAAATGAATAGAACGAAATAAAAATCACTCACTCTAGAGAATACAAGCAGGTTAAAGAAAAAACAAAAACAAAACAAAGGACAATGGTAGTATAGTGGTCTTAAGCACCACCAAGAGGGATTATCAGTTGTTCTTCCACCAGTCTTCAGGAGTTTCGGCTTGTTATGTGCAATACTTCCTCTTGGTCGTGGGCCAGTGGTACAAAATGCACCACCTCCCCCTGGTGCAAAATAAAACGATGTTTAAACGTCAGTTACTCTCTGCTTTTGGACATACTTGGTCCATAGATAGCCGTGTAGAACATGCCTCTGCTGCCTCTAAAAAAGCTCTATAAGCTTGCGATGTCTTTTACTTGAAAAACTGAAATCAAGAAACCACCAAATGAACGCAGTTTATATTGATATTATGTACAGTAAGTAACTGGAAAGATAAGTTACATCGCCAAACTCCAGTGGTGGTAGTTTACAATAAAAAATAATTTGCTAAAATTACTTTTGAAATGACACTATAGCATCATTGCTATTGAGTGATAAAGCATTTTAGTGATCCCTGGAAATGTTAACTAGGCATTACATTTTCGTGTTTGTATATATGTTTTGTTCATCCAGTCATAAATGTCTGTTCATGCTAAGCTTTACATGTTTGATTTTCAAGAGCAAGATGTTAATTTTGTGATTCCTATATTTTGAGTAGTATCTCACGTGATTTAATGCATGATTTAAGTTGTCGATTTTTAAAAATTTGTAATAAACTTTATATTGTATTTCTTTAAAAGATTCCACCAAAAAGGGGATAATGTAAAATTACATTAAATGTATAGAACAGTTTTGGAAACGCCCCCCCCCCCTCTCAAAAAATGAAATCTTGTTACCAATCATGTGAAAGAATATGTTTTGGGGGGCTATACGCGATGATACAAATTTTGCCGGAAACCTCCTACTAATTGATATATTTGGTAATATTAGGTAAATTATTATATCTATCCGGACTGGATAGATATCACCAAGTCCAAAATACATATTTCTGTGTACAGTGCTTGTAACTTTACCAAGAGTGAGCCAAATTTCTTATCATTTTGATGATTCCCGGACCGGAATCTTGTTCTACACACCAATACTTATATGGTAGATGATCAACCATTTTTAATCGATTCCACAACGTTTCTTTCACAATGCAATCGCAAAGGAAATTTGCATTCCTTGTATCATAACCAAAATGAGGCGTACGTATGTCCGTTTATCTTTTACTTTTTCGTTAACTGGCTCGAGAGAATGGATGAATTAAGTGCATTTATTGATAGTAAGTTTTTGTCGGTATGTACACCTAAATGCCTAACATGAGGAAATAAGTGATGCCTTTATTTTAATATAGTCTTCTACCTATCATTTTAACACCAGAATTATCATGAAAAGTAAAACAATATTACTGAATCTGAATTATTATTTTATATACAATGAGAGTGATGCATATGACCTATCATGTGCGGAATAACCGTTTGATTCAACATTAGGGTGTTAATAATTAAAATATAAACAGATAAAGAGCTATACAAATATTTGAATATTGTTACTTTACGAAGGTAGGCCTGTACATAGTTCGTTCTCGAAAAAAGCGTTCAAACTGTCACATAATTAGGCATATATGTAAAACATGGAAGAAATAACATTTAATAAATTGGGTCCTGCTCCAGATGTTATATTCTTGAAATATTGTCTAAAAAGACCAGTCATACAAGTATTAGATCAGTATGAACTTGAAAAATTAAAAAACAAGTGTATTCATATTTGCGTGTGTGTACGCTAAATCGACAAAGAAATACGTGAATAAAACTGTCACATAGTTTCTAAACGCATTTTCAAAATCAATACATTGTCAATAATATTTATTTTTTATTAATGCCGTTATCCTTGCCCTTGTTCTATGTTCATGATCTCCCTAGCTAAGTCGAGAAAGCCATTATCTACAAGTTTGTTGTTGAAATCTCGCTGCCGCTCTGGTGTCTCTGTTAAACTCAATACATTCTTAAGTTTATTTTTGACCAAGCCTTCCATCGCCTTTGTCCAGTTTGTCACGCAGTCACAGATCCTTCTTGACATCTCATCTGATGACATGACCTCTCCTTGCTTTTCTTCCTTGATCTCTAGCAGACTTCTCAGAGATGTTCTCCTACCCTCATCCATTTCGTTCACCATATCCTCGATGAAATCAAAGCTTGTTTCTCTGCTGTTGTATTTGCCTGTCGGACAAGACACGATTAATAAACATGATTTGTTATATCTTAACACTAACAAAATAAATTTTCCACCTTTCTACTTTGCTTAAAGGTACTATGTCCCATTTGCAGGTCAAACAAATGAAAAAGTTAAATTCCAACTACATTTGAAAGATAATACTAATTTAGAACTTCCCTAAAAAAGGTGGGGCTTGAAAACGTCTTCAAGTGGGAAAATAACGACTATTAGTCGTCAAATCGACTTAAGGGCTATAGAGCCCAAAAGTAATAGTCTTGATTTTCAGACAATTGTACCAAATGGTCATACATTTTATGCTGCGCAAAGATTCAATCAGTTTAATCTTGGCCATCACAAGAAGTGGGTTATTGATGTAGACAAATGCTCATATACCCTTTACAACTCTTTTCATGTATGTTATTACCAAAGAAGAAAAAAGCCAGTCAGTCACTCAATAGTGTCTGACAGTGAAGTCTAGCAAGTAAATGGGTCTCCTTGCATAATTTGAATATGAGGACACTGCTAACGTTTAAATTTCACAGATAGGACATACATGACATATTCATAATTCCTGCAAAGTTCTACAGCATTTGAGGTTGGCTGCAAAAGGGACATAGTACCTTTAATTGAGTTCAATATGTCAAATATTAGAGCATTTTCTTTAACAACGTAATATGATATACCTAAATTAACGTCACATTTCCTCAAACGAAGTGTTTTTATGGATTAAACAAAGAAACTTAATGGAAACGTAGAACGTGACGTGAATCAATTCAATTATAGTGTACATTCATTAATTAGGCAACATTTGCCATACTCGACCCAGGTGAGGTAAATGGGTAAATGCGTAGCTAGTATAATTATTCCTTTAAATGCACTGTGCGCTGATTACGGCTGCCGGAGCTAGAGAAGCGTATGCGCTATACAAGAACGGACTATCATTATCCAAGCTAAATAATTGTCCATTGTTGTTTCACCCGTTAAGAAAAATGGCCATTGGGTAGTAATCCATCACTCAACTATTCCTTTTGATTTATAATTACTTTTATACGTCCACCTACCATTAATTACTGCAGCTACAAGGTGTGGTTTACTGATCTTCTGTAAGCCTTCTGCTAAGACTACTCGGTGATCGAGTAGGCCCGGGCACACCCTCTCTTTCCAAATCTTCAATAGAGTGCGTACGGAGGCCATGTTGCTGTCGGGTATATCTTCGTCAGTGAGCTCGAGCATTATTTGTAGATCATGTAATCGTGGTGTCTTCTGATAGCAAGTGTGGAATTCTTTTGGTTTCTCACCAACATTTGAAGAAGACTGTCTTGTTTTGTCGACTGTTTCGTTTGTGCTTTCCTTTGCTTGCTTACTTTCTCCGCTGTTCTCAGGGGTATCCGCACCATCCTTGGGCTTGTCATCTTGAGTGACTGCTGTTGCTATGGCAACAAGTTCACCATAGCTTGGTTCAGTGGCTTGAAAAGAAGAAGAACCGGGATTTGATTAATATTTCATACCTTGTTCATTGATTCAAAGGATACGTTGAGTAGGGTGGGCAATGTTTCTATAGAAAATAAAACATTTCCAAATGAACGAAAAATAAACTATGAAAGAATTCACGCTTTAAAAAAAAAATTGAGGGCTACAAGATTCCACTTTCTGCTATGATATATATTGTTAACACATTTACTGGCTCAGCTTTCAGATTATAAGGTGATAGACAAATTATGTAAATCTATTCCTTTCCAATTGATTTGATCGCTAAGCATGATTTCAATATGTATTTACACGATGCTTTCTTACCAAATATGAACCGCTTCATGACGTTAGGGTAACCAGCATTTTCCAGAATACTGCAAACATCACGTCTAATGTCCCCACCAGAAATGCTTTTAACCATCTTACATAACTGTAACACAAGATTTATAGTGCCA